AAACAGTTTATTCTTGCATTATTAGTTATTAATTACCATATCATTTTCCATGCAAACAACCATAAACCTACTTTTGCCTCACCCTGGATATCTAACACAACCTATTAATATTAAAAAGTATTGTAGATAATTACTATCAACTTAAAACAATGTCTATTTTTTTAAAAAAAGTATAGTTTTGCAAATTTTATAAAGTTCAGGCATGGCATAATTGGGTTCTCTGATAAGGATTTCACAAGGTCTATCACCAGAGTTTCCCCTGGGCTATGTTCCTTTTTGGAGATTCTGAGAAATAATTTACTTCCAAATTTATTCAAGCTGTGAAATGAACTCCTTTTGGTTATAGGACTGAGGTCCTCTTCTCTGTAAGTCAGGAGTCATCCTCTGCCTTTAGGAGCCATGTGCAGGGCTACCCATGCTGTCAAGGAAGACTTTATCATGTGTCAAATTTCTCTGGCACTGAATTTCTTGACTTCCTTCATTTCTGAGCTCTAGACCATCATTTTCTTCATCATCTTACCATCATTGTTGTTCGTCGTCATCATCATCATAATCATCATACCTTTCAAAAGTCAGGTTTTCCTTAGCAGGAGTTTATAAGATATGTCCAACTATGATTTTAATCTATTTCTCTCTCACTATGTTTTTAGTACCTATGAGAATCAAGGAGTTCAAATAGACATCGATTTTGTTGTCCTTAAAGTTTCAGCAGCACCTAAAAAAAATCCCTACACATCCTTTGTTCTGTGGCAGGGGACCTCTAGAAGGGTCAACAGAGGCTCATCCTCAATGCTTTGTTAAGTTATAATGACTCCTAAGAAAGGGACACCTGGACCAGTTTAGACAGGTCAAGGGGGCATTTGGAAGGGTGTGAGCCCTCAGCTGAGTATTCAGATCCACAAGGAGAAAGGGACAAAGCAAAAAAGAGAGGGTATTCTAGGTGGAAGGAATTCCTTGGTCACAGGCATGGACTGGGAAATACTGGTATACTAATGAACTAACAGAAGTGAGAGGAAAGATCCTGATAGAGACATGATTCTGATTTATGCATATGCAGATCTAACTCACACCACATGGAGGACAGATTTGCACAGACTGCAACCAAGAAGTGAGTTAGAATGCTAATTCCGGGGTGTAGAGCATGACAAGGGCATGGACACAGGAAGGTCCTCAGACTACTGGACTTATAAAACCAAAACAGGGGTCCCAGTCTGCGAGGGAATAAATGGCTCAAGGGGCTGCTAGACAAGACTTCCTGGACAAACCTTTGCCTGAGGGACAGGTGTGGGCCAACTGGCCAGAGGGAGGGCGTGGGCTTTTAGCAAGAGGGATTTTATCCTGATCCTGAATAAAAGGCACCATCAGAGCAAATAATGTTCCAGTTTCAAGTCTAGATGGCTCTGAGGAATCAGGGAGAAGGTATGGACCCAAACTAATGGTAGGATGGGGGAATAATCCAATATATTGGAGAGGTTTAGCCTGGAAGCAGAGTGCGGAAACCAACATAGGAAGAAATGGTGGAAGTATAGCTGCCATGAGAAGCACTAATAATTTCTTGGTAGGAGAATGATAACACTCAGACAACCACTAAATGATCTGGATTCTTAAAGCTACAATGTGCATTTGGGTGTGTAGAAAAGTCTGTGAAGAGTTTAAAAGATCACAACGGTCCTATTTGTGGTTACCTCTACTGTAAACACTTGGATGCAGAAGCTGATAGCCTACAACATTGGATCCAGAGTCTCCCTTCTCCAAATTCTCAGTACTCTCATTTTTTATTTGATTGGTTATTATAAAGTTGACTGTTATAAATGCATACTAATAACATTTTTCAAAAAGTTCAAACTGTCATTGTGACTCCCAGAAATGAGGTCTGAGAAATCAGATGAAGCAATTTCCTATCACTAATAAAGGCAGAGGATAACCAAACTAGAATTATCATTTTTATCATTTACATAACAAGTTTGAAAAATATTTAATTTTGTTTTATTTTTGTTATAAAACTCTCTTATCCCTCCAGAATATGAAACATCTAAATTATCAGACTCTTTACCTGTCCTCCTTTTTCAAAAATTGTTTATATTCTATTTTTTTATTTTAAAATATCTCTTTTGATGTGCTAACTAGGTTAGTCTATTACCCGTTATAAAGACTTGAATTTCCAAAGGTGCATTTTTGAAACTGAGCAAATCTCTAGGTTATGACACACACACAAAGGGGAAGCTATGTGTTAGATTTTCTCCAGTGAAATATCAGTAAATTGCTTGTACTATTCAAAGGTAGATTCATGCATTAGAGGTTTCCAAAATACAAAATAATTAAGCTTCATGAAAACTGAATATTATAGAGGTATATAGCAGAGAAAATAATTAGGCAGTGTCTGCTTCTCCTAACACTATTACTTTATACACATTTAATACAGAATTACTGATAATGTACGATGAGCTGCAAGCTAAGGATACAAGTTATAGGTGAAGAACCGAACACTGTCATGGGTAATTTTTCTGTATAGTTTGGTAGCTCAATGATGTGTTCTATCTAAGACACTTTGGACTTGAGAAAAGAAATCAACTCAATTCAATAAAATGAGGGGGGATAAAAGTTTTCAAGAATATAAATGAAATATCAGAGATGCAGCAGTCTTAGTGATAACTGAACTGGTCTCTGTAACATTCCGAAACAAGATGATCCCTGTAACCATGGACTCCTCCATTGGCCACCATCTCCCCAGCATTCACCCCTGGAGGTCACAGATCTGGGGTCACTTATTTCACATTCTCAAGAGTAAGAGCCCAATTTCTTTCAGGCTATTCACTGAACAAATTGTCCTTGGCTTAGATATCTACTTCTAATCCAATCAGAAGTTGGAAATTGAGGCACAGGGTACAACATGGTACCCCAGACCTTCTCCTACCAGGACTGGGGATGGATGAAACAAAATAAAAGTTGTATAGTATGCAAAAATACCACACAGAAAGATTAAGAATATGCATTCAACAGGTAATCTGGCCAATCAGGAAACAACTGGTTTAAAAGCCAAATAGATGTCAATTCAGTGGTGTTTATAAATCCCCAGAACAGGCTTAGCTTCTGAGGAGGTGTTCAGCAATAACAATCAGCTTTTTAATACATATAGTAATAAAAATCTACACTTATAAATATTTTTCTCACTACCTTATACCAGACAACCTTGTGAACACAATTTCACTTTTTCTTTTTCTTGTCTATCCTTTTTTTGTTAATTTTGGTGTTTAGACAAGTAGGTGATGAGTTTAAGAGACCACAATTTATCTACGTGCTGCTTCTTACTACCAAACTATTACAGAAGTGAATATGCTTCCACATACTCCAACTACGGCTTTGCAATTGAAAACGATCTCCATTCAAGTAACCTAGTCTAACAATAAGAGTAGCAGTAACTTCTACTTAAAGTGTACCCACTGCCTCAGGAATACAAGAACAATGTTAAAAGACTAATGGCAGGTGCTTCCAACATGACACCTTCCAACAACAGACTTTACCTTGCAATGATAAATACTGTATTTTTCGGACCATAAGACGCTCTGGACCATAAGACGCACCAGTTTTTAGAGAAGGGAAATGAAGAAAAAAAGATTCTGAAACAAATAGTGTCCTAAAATATTTTATGTGCATTAAAACCCAACATCACAGTCATAAACACATGTAATCAACCCTGTAAAGTAAAGAGCAGCATTTAGAACCATTTTAGAGCCGGGCAAGCACACAGAGACCACACAGAGCCGGGCAAGTAAAAAAACTTTTTTTTAAAGTATATGTGCAGGCTGTATTTGGACCATAAGACGCAGGGACTTTTTCCCCCCACTTCTGGGGGGAAAAAGTGCGTCTTATGGTCCGAAAAATACGGTACTTTAGAGCAATGGGTACAGTGATGTTTTCATTCTTTTGTGGCAGCAGTTGCTAAGAGCTCACCAAACTCAAGCTCCTGCTTCCTGAGTAGAGTGGGTGTCCATGCCAGGACCAGGAATCCCTGCCCCACTCATCTATGAGAGGCCATGTGACTGGTTCTCACCAATAGGATATGGGCACAGTGATGTGTTTGACAATGAGGCCATAGGGGTTCTCAAGAGTTAGGCCTATTGCTCCCGGCATTGAGGGAAGCAAGGCAGCTCCCTAACCAGCATCCCCTGCCTCTCTCTGTTGCATGAATGAAAAGCAATCTGCTATTTTGTTGTTACTATAATGTTGAAGTTTATTTGCCATAGTAACTATTATTTCCTTACCCAAGACATGGCCCTAAAAAATGTAGCATCAAACACAGCATAGAAGAAGGTGACAGAAAAGTACAATGCATTCCTGATAAATGAAAGTTGACTTATAGAACTTTATGTATGTTTATTTCAATTTCACACACACCTTTCTTTTTAATAAAAACAAGGTCCTAGGGGGAGCATTTATTCTGTGGCCAAATGACTATATTTTGTTTCATTCTTAAATATTTCATAACCTCAAACTACCCCCAATTTAATAATTAATCATTCTATCTATGGACTTGAAATATTTTTCACACATGGCAATTGAATGTGTGGTAAGTACAGGAGGAACAATTTTATAATTTAACATCATATATTAGCAGACGATACAGATGCATTGAAATGCCCTCTCTCATTTCCAGAACCTGCAACTCTAGATCATTTAGAAAAGAACAACAAACTGGGAGAGTGTGATATGGCATCTTCTGCTTTCAAGCAACCTGCCTGAACTAAAAGCCTTCTTTTGTACAAAATGATGCATCATTTGCATTCAGGGCAGGGATCGATTGTGTTAAAAGAGTTTCAAGTAAAAACCAGGCCATTTCAGACTTCTTTTGAACATCTGAAATCAGGTCGGTTACAATTCCTTTCCAACATCGGACTGAATGCTCCGATTCCACTGCCAGGTTTGTAAGGAGAAGATAAACCCCGCCATTTACTTCCCTGGCAACTCAAAGCAAGAACCCCGGGGGATGGGATGCCCAGTACCTGATGCTGCTCATGCTGCCTGTCTCCGACCCCAGCTTGCATCGCTCCAGCTGGCTGGCTACGATCTGGCGTTCTGCCTCCAGCTCTCGAGTCAGTCTTTCAAACTGTAATTCCTGAAAGAAAACCAGCAAAAAGTTTAATTCTGTCATCTGTATAGAAAGTGGAATTCAGACACAAATGACAGGACAGTTGAGGGGAGATATCTGGTTTACAAAGATGGCAAATGTAAGAAGTAGAGAAGATTGATGTGGAATCAAAGAAAGATTGCAGTTCAGACAGACCCAAGTTTATATCAGAGTACTGACCCTTTAGCTGCAGGTCCTTGAATAAGTTATGTAATCTAAATAGCAACTGTATCATCTGTATTGTGGGTATGGGTGAGGACTAAGTGAGACAGTGTCCATGAAAAATTAGCCTATGCTATGTTTGGCAGATGACCAGCAACCCCAGATAACAAAAGTGGAACATTTAATTTTTCTATCATCTGGAGTATAGTGTTTATTCCTTACTGGCTTTTTAGCTGCCTCAATATACTAATTTGATTCTCATATTACTAACCTATTATATACTGAAGAAAAGCAATGCTAAATCCTACACTTCTTTATTATTTAAATTTAAGCATAATGGCATGATACTGATTCTACACAGGCTTGAGAAAATTACTTTTAACATTTTACTATATTATTTTTTTAAAATAGCCAATTAAACCAATGAAGAATGGTTCTACAGAGCTGCCCAAAATCCACTGTTAAAGGATCACCTTGAGTGAAAAATGATTCAGTGAGTACATCAAGACTCCTGGCTATTCCAAATATTGGACCTGGTACCGTAGTTCAGTTGTTATATTATATTTTACTTTTCTATACACTTAAGTTCTTAAATAAGTATAATGAAAGCAAATTACATGTTTTAATTAAAGAAATGTTTTTACAATGTCACATTTAACTTCTTTTAAAAATATCTACACAGTTATATTTAGGCGATTAAGAAAGAAGAATGCTGAAAAATATTGAAATATAGGGTTAAGGTTAGTTTGGGAAAACTAAAACTCCCAATGTTTCAAGGATTTGTCTTTCCAGAGAAGATTACTTATTTCTATTTACTACCCTAGAACATTCTTGGGTGAGACCTTTAAAAAGTGGGATCTACTATTGTGTCCTCTTCACGAATTAAAAATACCCTTGCTCTTTTCCATAAGAGCAGAATATTTTTTGTTGACATTATTTAGTGGATCTAAGTTTGAGACACTCTGTATATGACAGCTCAACTTTTCCCGTTGGGGTGCTAAAACAGGAGGCATGCTGTTGTTTGAGATCAAACTTTTATTCTTATCTATCCAGAAAAACAGCAAATACTCTTTGTAAAAAGTGACTACCAAGACTTGTGCTGAGCGTATTATGTGCAGCTAAGTTTCCCTTCTTCTCCTTTCAAGTTATGCTCATTTTTGTCAGTTTCTTTCCACAAAAATATGAAAGTTCTAGAAGATTCTTCATTCCCAGGCTGTATAATATAGTATTTTAAATTTCTCTATATAACAGGAAACCAACTCATACCTTTGAACTGGAAACACCTTAAAAATACAATACCTGGGGGCTACAGCAAACTCCTTATAGGTAGGTGGAAATTCATTATTTGTATAATTTAAAGGACTTCAATTTGCTGCATGTTTGCATATGTGAAAAATAGTCCAATAGGGTGAGATAGCTCAGCGTACTGAGTCCTGGGACAGAGGCTGTCTTGCCTGTGCTTGCTCCAAGGCTGTGACAGCACTGCATGCTTTCTCCATTTCATTCTTATCAATGGGAGGATATAGGAGGCATTTTCATTAGCAAGCTGCCTTTCAAATATAGTCAAAACTTCCAGTGCTCCTCATCACGTTTTATGGATCTGTATTTCCATCTGGCACCATTTTCTTTCTGTTTAAATGACTTCCCTCAATATTTTTTGTATGTGGTTCCTTAGGTGATAAATTTTTCCAGCTTTACATGGCTCACAGGAGTCTTTATTTCCCCTAATTTTTTAAAGACATTTTTGCTCCATGGTCCCCTCATTTGGGCGTTGTTTCTGACAAAGAAAAGAAAAAGTCTATGGTATTACTTATCTTTGTTTTTTGTTTTTTTTTATATAATGTCTTTTTTCTCTGACTCCTTTTAAGATTTTCTTTTTCGCTGGTGCTGAATAACTAGATGTTCATGTTCCTTAGAGTTGTTTCCTTCATGTTTCTTATGCTTGGAGTTCACTGGGATTTTTCAATGTGTGGATTTATGGCTTCCTTCACATTTCAAAAATTTTAAGCCATTATATCTTCAAAGAATTATTTATCTTCCCCACTGTCTCCTCTTATTCAGTGAGTACAGTTAAGTGTATACTAGGTCACTGGGAATTGTCCCACAGCTCACAAATTCTTTTCCCATATAAAATTTTTTTCTCTCCCTTTGTGTTTCATTTTCAATAATTTCTATTGATGTCTTTGAGTCAACCAGTCTTTCCTTGTGCAATGTCAAATCTACCATCAATCCTATTGAGTGTGGGGTGGTTTTTTGTTTTTTGTTTTTTTACCTCCAACGAATCAAACATCTCTAGAAGTTTCATTGGGGAACTTTTTATATCTTCCATGGCTCTATTTAACTTTTGAAGATATGGAACACATATAAAAACTGTTTAGATGTCCTGATTCTAGCATCTGTGTCAGTTTCAACTGAGTGATTTTTCTCCTTAGTATGAGCTCCACTTCCATTCCTCTTTACATGTGGTCATCTTTGAACACAAAACATTTGAACGCTACCTTGTTTGGTCCTGGTTGTCTTCATATACCTACAGGCATCTTAAGATCTGTCCAGGGCTCAGTTATATGGAATGAATTCGTTACATTTGAGTCTTGTATAGATTTGTTTAGAACAACAGAACAGCATTTGGTGTAGGGCTAATTACCCTATATTGCCTAGGCAGCCCCTTTGGCGTCCTCTACTCAGCATCACATGAACCATGGGTTTCTCAGCTGGGCTGGTGGGCACCAGCACATATCTTGGCCCGGTGTGAGCAGCAGGTGTTATGTCCTCCCGTTCTTTCAGATGGTCTCTCCTGCCCCCTTGGCTTCCTTACACACATGGGCTGCTCAGTTCTCTACTGAATAGAAAAACGTGAACCTTTGCAGATCTCAGGGGTTCTCTGTTTGAGTAGCAATATCCTTTCTTCTCTTTTCCCCTGCAAATTCTAGCCACCGTTAGCTTCCTGGACTTTCAGTGCTGTCTCCCCAACTCAGCAAGTTCTCTGGCTCTGTCTGGGTTACCTCTTCAAGACTTTCCAGAAGAAACCTTCCCACGGCAGTAAGCTGGGACAACTGCAGGGCTCACCATTTATGCTTCGTGTCTCCAAGGAATCACCATCCTTCATTGTCTAAAAGTCAGGGACTGGAAAACTGCTGTTTCATTTTTCTGATCTGTATGTTTTTGTTGCTGTTGAACATATTTCCCGATTCTGTTACTATATCTTTGCTGAAAGCTGGATAATTTTTAAAGAACTAACAGGTTGTCCTCTATACTTGATTTTTAAATAAATATTTACATATTATTTAAAAATTCACACAAAATGAACAAGCAACTAGCTCAGTACCTAAGTTTTGATACTTAAAAAATGTTGTACACTATTGCAATATTAAAATTTGAGGCTAACTTTGGGTTGTTTCTTTTATTTGCTGGATGTCTTCTTAATTAAATTGACATTTTCTTTATTAAGGGAACTGAATCAATGTGCTGCCTTTTAAAAATGTCCATTCCTTAAATGCTTACTTTGTCATTGCGTGTATGAAACAAGCAAGTAATTAAGTGAATTATTCCTCTGTGCTTTGCTAAGGAGTACACAGTAAATGTCAAGGCCCTTAGGTGCAAGTACTTTTCTCTTCTTCATCTGAAATATATTTTATTAATATAATAACACAATATCTAACAAAATAGGATGCTAACATGTTTACTGAGTGCTGGCTATTGAGTGCTTAATTACTAGGACAGTATACATGGCAGGAAATATATATATCTTGTCAAATTTCATCAAATTTCACACATTAAATATATGCACCTTTGTTGGTATATCATGTACACTTTAAATTGCTTTAAAACTACTCCAAAATATGATTCAAAAACTGCCCAGAGAAATTGGGAATTCATGGGAATGAAAAACAATGGGTGGATTAGAGAAGACAGCCTGGAGTAAAGGAAGTTTTAAAAAAACACAAAGTAGTGTTAGACCTAAATCTCCCCATTATGTAGAAATTGTCTTGTTTTAAAGATCATAAAAATTTATAAGAGTAGGAAATGTATAATGCCAAAGTTCATTAAAATTTATGAGGAGCCAGATTTAAATGATCGCCTCTCTTAGAATAGCACATTGAGTCACATAATACATTAAGATTATAAGAAAAAAATTATACTGTTGTCTAACTTTGCCCTAAATAGACTAAATGAATCATTAATTTGGCTTAATTAAATGGTGTTTATTAAATATTTTTAAATGGATAAAAGCATGTAAATCTCTTACAGAGGCTTAGCTAACTCAGTATGAAAATGAAATCAGAAAACACATACTCCTGGTTTCATTAGTTCTTTCAATAAATACTTAATTTAGCATTGTGGGATAACATCAGTTAGGATCATACAAGCTAGACTTGAGAAAATATAAAATCTCAGACTAAAGAGTGAATTAAGTAAATATAGACTTGCCATGATTTCCCTAATATGAGAAGGTGGGAAAGAGATCAAACAGGAGTAGATAATAGAGAAGATGGATAAGATGCTAGACATTGGAAGTCAACATGATTCCACAGTTGTGGCTCTGATTGCTAAAATCCAGTGAGGATCTGGTTGCTAGAATCCAATGTGGATCTGGCTGCTAGAATCCCATGATAGGATTTGAACTGCTCATGCCAGCTAGATGAAGTGGGAAAGTGGACCCATAGTATATCCCGACACTGTGTGGACTCTGCATGCTCACACATCCATAGTCTTTGTCAAACTCTCCTCCCAAATGAAAAAAAAAAGAGAGAATATTAATGACCAGCAGACACAAGATGGTGCTCCTGTGCAAAGGTGAAAGGCACAAGGACAAGAGCAGAGGGGGT